TGGGCTCACCAGTGCATGAGCCACCATGTCTACGTACAGTGCATAGCCGCTATCCCACTTAGTGGGATTGTTGTTCGTGGATGCATCATTGCCCCCAGGAGTCTACTTAACAAAATGGGGTCCCCCTGGCTCCAAGGGACTGTGCAGAGTGACCCAAATTTGATCAGTGTGTGTGTGTGTGTGTGTGTGTGTGTATATATATATATATATATTATGTATCCCGGGGGACGAGGACCGGGGGCCCGGGACCGCGACCTCGAGCGCGCATGGGGGCACAGGGGCTTCTGGGGCGCCCCCGGGACGGCTCCCGAGGGCGTCGGAGGCCGCCAAACATATCAAGAAGGCGCACAAGCATCGAAATGTAGCTTGAAGACGCCGACGATGGCTCCAAGAGGGCTCCCGGGAGCCCCCGAGACAGCCAAAGAGGGCCCCAAGAGCATTCCCAAGAGGGCCCCAAGAGGCAAAAATGGTCCCGTCCCCTTCGGAAAACGTACATTTTTGAGGGATTCGCCCCTTGACCTTCCAGGGGAACGAAGACGGCCGGAGAGGCCGCCAGGATCGCCCCAAGACAGCCCAAGAGGGTTCCAAGACAGCCCCAAAGGGCCCCTGGCTAGCCCAAGAGGCCCCCAAGACGGCCCAAGAGGGACCCAGGACGGCCCCAAGCAGGGGCCCAGAGAGGATGCCCTACAAACATTTCAACCCCTCCGCCCCCAGAGGTCCCAAGGAGGCCCCAAGAGTCCCCCCAAACGCTCCCGAGAAGCTCCCTAGAGGCCCCCCAACAGCCCCCTGACCAGACGCCCTCAGGTACTCTTCCCGCTCCCGAAGCTTCTGGACCAATCTTCGCTTCCTGAGGCCCGAAACGGGGCCCGGGACCGTCAAGCATTTACGACGAAACACCGGGCCCATGGAAGCTCTTCGGACTTCGGGCCCATTCCAGGGACCCCGCGTTGAACAAGTCACTCTAGCGAATCTCTTTGACAAGAGGCCCCCGAAGGCGCTCCGAAGAGACCCCAAGAAGCATCCCTGAGAGCTCTGACCCACAACCCTGGCATAGTGGTGGGATGTGCCGAAGGCCATTCGATCCATATGCATGCGTACATACATCCACACTTAGATACATACATACATACATTATCCCAGTGCGACCCTACCTAGGAGTTGGAGCCTCTAGGAAAACAACATTAGTAGTGGATGCTGTGCTGCGCTGTGCTATGCAATGCTATGATTTGCTATGCTATGCTATGCTATGCTATGCTGCGCAATGCTATGCTGGGCTAGGCTAGGCTAGGCTAGGCGAGGCTATGCTATGCTATGATATGCTATGCTATGCTATGTTGCGCTATGCTATGCTGCGCTATGCTATGCTATGCTATGCTATGCTATGCTGCGTTATGCTATGCTATGCTGGGCTATGCTATGACATGCTAAGCTAAGGCTAAGCTAAGCTAAGCTAAACTAAGCTAAGCTAAGCTACAGCTACGCGAAGCTAAGATGAAGCTAAGCTAAGCTAAGCTAAGATGAGATAAACAACGCTAAGCTATGGGGACGTAACTGGGGGAACCGCGGGGCGGATGCCGGGGGAACCGCCCAGGGCGGGGTCCACTGCCCGGCCCCTTTAAGATATAGGGTAAGAACCCTTCTAGGCAGAGCCTAGGTAGGGAATAATGCTACATACATACCGATCTACGAGGCGCCCAAGATCGCCCAAGAGGGCCCCAAGACGGCCCCAAGAGGGGCTCAAGAGGTGGAACACGAACCGACAATTCGAGCCTTCCGCCCCAAAAGGCTTCCAGGATACCCCAAGAGGCCCCCAACAGATCCCAAGAGGCCCCCCAGAGGCCCCCTAGATGCCCCACGAGGCCCCAAAGAGGCTTCAAAGAGGCCCCAAAAGAGGCCCCAAGGGCAACCCAAACGGCCCTCAAAAGACATCCAAAACATACCGGTGCATAGCAAAGGACCGCCTAGGGTCCCGGACGGCGTCAGAGGCCCTTCAGATCGCTCCGAGACGGCCGAAGAGGCTCCCAAGAAAGCCCAGAGACGGCCCAGGAGGCTTCCCAGATAGTTCAAGAGGGCGTCGACAGCGCCCCAAGAGAGCCCCAAGAGCGACCCAAGAGGGCCCGAAGAGCGCGACATTTCAAGGTCTCCGGCCTGAGAGGCTCCTAGGACGCCCCCTGAGGCCATCATGGCTCCCAAGAAGCCCTGTGAGGCTTCCAAGAGGTCCCTCGGAAGCCCTAATAGGCCCCCAAAGGGCTCCCAGGGAAGCCCCTTGCGGGCCCCCAAGACACCTCGGTACGTCGCATTTCCCAGACAGCTTTCCGGGAACATGATTCCTTGGGCTTCCACCCACCGCCCCAACCATGTTTCCAATAGGCTTGCCGACGAGGCCAAAAAGGGGCCCCTCTTAGGAGAGCCGAGCAAATCATGCTCCCGGAAAGCTTCCCGGGAACATGTTTCTCTATCTCGGAGTAGGCCTGGGGGTGGCGGGGGGCGGGCCGCTGCTGTTCCCCCCATCGGTGCCCGCCAGGGGTTGTTGGGGGCGGTCCTCCTCCTCCTCCTTCTCCTTCTCTTATTTTTCTCCAGCGACCTCGGGAACCAAACTATGATGCCCAGTTTCCATGAAATTTGCTTCTTCCTTCTCCACATCCTCCCCGACATCCTCCTTCTCCTCATTCCTTCTTCCCGCTTCCCCCCCCTCCCCCATCACTCTCTTCCTTTTATATTTTTTTTCATCGGCAGCCGCCATGTGCTTTCCCGCAGCGCCCGCGGGACCCAAAATTCGATGGTCAGTTTCCTTTAAGGAACGCGCGAACTCTGTCCCTGGATCTGCAAGTAGAGCTCCCAGGGGCCCGGGGGGCCCACGATTCGTGTGAGGGCTGTGCCGTAATTATGGCGGGGGGACGCTATGTGAACCCTGCTTTTCTATGGGGCCACGGGATCTTCGCTTTCACTCCTTCTCAGCTTTCCTGCAACCCACTTCTCCTCCCCTCCCCCATCCTCCTCCTCTTCCTTCTCCTCCTCCTCCCCTTCCCTTCCTTATCCTCCTCCTCCTCCTCTTTCTCCTCCTCCACCTCCTCCTCCTCCTCTTCCTCCTCCACACCCTCCTCCTGCTCCTTCCCTTATTCAGCATGGTGCTGCCGCTTCGCTCGCGCGGTTTGCAATACTTCGGGATCCCTCTTCCGTCCGTGGCCGCATCCTGATCCAAGATTGGCGCGCACTCCCCAGCACTGACCACACTCTCCAATACGAGCGGTACTGTCGCCTCAGAGCCGGCCACAGCCCTCATTGCAGATGATGCTGCCAGTCGCGCATAAGCCCCATTCCTGGGTGGGACTGGCGCTCTCGCCCGAGCGCTGGCCACACCCCTGTCTAGGAGTCATGCTGCCGTCTGCGCGCTGGCCAAATCCTTCATGGAACGCGGCAGTCATTCCGCAGCGCCAGCCACGCCCCTGATTGACTATTGTGATGGCGCTCCACTCGCACGCTTCCCACAGCTCTCATGGGAGAATGGTGCTCCGCCCAAGCGCCAGCCACATCCATTTCCAAGATTTGTGCTACCGCCCCAGCGCCGGCCGTATCCGTGTGTGAGACTGGTGCTCTCGTTTGAGCCTCGGCTACATTCGTCTTTTGCGAGCACCACCTCTCGGGCGAGACAACTGGCGACCGCAGTTGCCGTCCCTTCGTGCTGGGCGAGTGCCGAACCTGGCGTTCGGTTTGGACGGAACGCGTCGGGTCTGTTGCCAGTCGAGGCTGCGCCGTGTTAGCCTTCCCAGCGTCAGGGTTCGGGAATGGGTCGTAGTAGCACTGCGGCTACGTCAATATGCTAACCGCCGATTGAATAAAACATGTAGGTGCATGGATCAAGATTGGAAGGCGAATCGCAGCGACCCTTGACATCATGTGTATCTACATATCTACATGTCTGTCGATTAACATGCATCGTGATGTCCCGATGTGCATCCGCTCGTGAGATGGATTGTGTTGCCAATGCAAATCGCATATGACGTCACCCCCCACCACTTTACTTCCCGAAAGCTGCTATTTGAGGTACGTCACTAAGCAAGGATGGCATTGCTTGGCATTGCTGTGCACTGCTTTGCGTTGCTTCGTATGGCCTGCCATTGCTTGGAATTTCTTGTCGTTGCTTGGCAATGATTGACATCGCTGGGCACCGCGTGGCATTGCTTGGCATCTCTTTTGATTGCTTGGCATCGCTTGGCGTTGCTTGGCATCGCTTGGCGTTGCTTGGCATCGCTTGACGTTGCTTTGCGTTGATTGGCATTGCTTGGAATGCCTGGGCATTTCTTTGCAAAGCTTGGCATTGATTGGCCTTGCTTGGCGCTACTTGGCATTGCTTGGCATTGCTTGGCATTGTTTGGCGTTGCTTGGCATGTACCTAGCATCGCTTCGCATTGCTTGGCTTCGCTTGGCATTGATTGGCATCGCTCGCCGTCGCTTTGCATTTGTTGCATTGCTTGGCAATGCTTGGTATTGCTTGCCGTTGCCTTGCGTTGATCGGCATTTAGGTACGTTGCCTGGCACTGCGTGGCATTGCTTGGCAACCCAGGGAACGCCCCTTCAAGTCAGAAAGGAATCAAGAGCACGGAACGAACCGGGGGAACTCGGGGAAACCGAGGAAGGCCCGCCTGTCCGAGCCAGTGAAGAAACGCGGCGAAAGGAACCCGGGGAGCCTGGGGAACCCTGAGGACGGCCGGCCGACGCAGGCCTGACCCACGGGCTCTTCCAGACAAGTGAGAGCCCCATTTGAATGCACGCCTACCCTGGGGAGCAAGGTTCTTCCGCAAGCCAGCCCACGATCGCAGGGAACTCGGCGCAGCGCCTTGGGCCGCTCCTCGGGCAGGCATGATCTCAGTGGGCCAACGGCGCGATGTGTGAGCGGCGAGGAGGAAGCCAGGCCCGCGATGCGGGCGCGATTGGGATGGCATTCTAGACCACGCGCTCGTCTCGGCTGAAGCCGATCGCGGCTGTCCTCCGCCCCACAGGCGCTCATCTTTTACTGGTTCCTGATATATATGAACGTGGTGCACTGGCAGTCTTGGACGTGCGTGCTGCTGATCGGTTTTCTGTCCTGGTACCTCACGGGCAACATGATGCACGACGGGTCGCACAACGCCCTGGTGTCCAAGCCATGGCTGAACCGAGTCCTATCGCACGCAGCTTTCCCATACGGTGCTTCCTAGGAGGAGGAGGAGGAGGAGGAGGAGGAGGAGGAGGAGGAGGAGGAGCAGCAGCAACAGAGATGGAAATGGGTATGGTGGGAGGCATGGGGGAGATCGGTATTGGGTTGGGGAGCTGGAGTGGAGATGCCGACGTTGGGGAGATGGGAGAGATGCCAGCTGTAATTTTGCTCGCGGGAAGGACGGGATGACACCATCCCAAGACTTCCGATGTCGAGATTTTTGTCACGGTCTGGGCCCCGTCCTTGGGACTGTCATTTCGCTGCAGACCTTCTTCTGAGCGTCCTCCCTTATCTCTGGAGGTACCTGAAGGTTTCCAGAGGTCCCTGCAGGCCTCCCCAAAGGCACAGTCATATTTGCCAGAGTGAACCTCGTGGTGCAGTCTATGTGGTGCAAGATACGATGTGGTGTGAGCTTCGTTGTGTGCTGTGTATGTGGTGTAAGCTGTGGTGTGTAATTTTTTCCCAGCCATCCTGTGGTGTTGGGTCCTCGTTTTGAAGAGACAGCGCCCCGCGTCACCTCACCTCACCTCCCGCTCTCATCCCCCTTCCTCCCCCCTCCCTCCTCCCATCCGCCTCGTCATCGTCATCGTCATCATCATCACCACCATCATCATCATCAGCATCATCATCATCATCATCACCATCATCATCATCATCATCATCATCATCATCATCATCATCATCATCATCATCATCATCATCATCGCCATAGTCATGATTATCATCATCATGATCATCACCATCGCCATCGTCAGCGCCGCGCCCCTCACACGGTTCGTGGCACCACAGGGAGCTCCACCGAAGGCCAAAGTGGCCGTTCCACCGAAGGCTTCAGCGGGAGAGTCCTCATGGCACCGCCGCCCCATTTCGGCACACCCCTCACACGGTTCTTGGCCTCCATAGGGAGCTCCACCGAAGACCCAGCGGGAGCGTCTGCATGGTACCGCCGCCCCATTGCGGCACACCCTTCACACGGTTCGTGGCCCCTTAGGGAGCTCCATCGAAGGCCCCAGCGGGAGCGTCCGCATGGCACCGCCGCCCCATTTTGGCACACCCTTCACACGGTTCGTGGCTTCATAGGGAGCTCCACCGAAGGCCCCAGCGGGAGCGTCCGCATGGCCTTGCCGCCCCATTGCGGCACACCCCTCACACGGGTCGTGGCCGCATAAGGAGTTCTACCGGAGGCCCCAGCGGGAGCGTCAGCATATTTCGGCACACCCCTCACACGGGTCGTGGCCGCATAAGGAGTTCTAATGAAGGCCCCAGCGGGAGCGTCCGCATGGCACCGCCGCCCATTTGGCACCCTTTTCGCACGGTTCGTGGCCCCAGAGGGAGCTCCACCGAAGGCCCCAGCGGGAGCGTCCGCATGGCACCGCCGCCCGATTTGGGCACACCCCGCATACAGCTCATGGCCCCAGAGGGAGCTCCACCGAAGGCCCCAGCGGGAGCGTCAGCATGGCACCGCCGCCCCAGTTTGGCACACCCTTCACAAGGTTCGTGGCCCCAGAGGGAGCTCCACCGAAGGCCCCAGCGGGAGCGTCCGCATGGCACCGCCGCCACATTTCGGCACACCCCTCACACGGTTCGTGGCCCCTTAGGGAGCTCCACCGAAGGCCCCAGCGGGAGCGTCCGCATTGCACCGCCGTCCTATTTCGGCACACCCCTCAAACGTTTCGTGGCCCCCATAGGGAGCTCCACCGAAGGCCCCAGTGGGGGCGTCCGCATGGCACCGCCGCCCGATTTTGGCACACCATTCACACGGTTCGTGGCCCCAGAGGGAGTTCCACCGAAGGCCCCAGGTCCGCATGGCACCGCTGCTCCACTTCGGCACACCCCTCACACGGTTCGTGGCCCCAGAGGGAGTTCCACCGAAGGCCCCAGCGTCCGCATGGCACGGGTTGCGCACGGGGCTCGGGCGAAACCAAGAAGACTCCCCGCTCGCCCGCGTCAGCTTTTCTTCCCCTCATGCACGCCGCAGTCCTTGTTGCTGCCCCCCTCCTTCGTCTCCTCTCCCTTGCGGTACTTGCAGCAACATATGGTTTGGTCCTTCGTCAGGCTAATTTGCTGTGAGCTACGTGGTGTCTTCTATGTGGTGCCAGCTATGTTGTGACATGTATGTGGTGTGTGTGTGTGTGTCAGCTAGGCACGTGTTTGGCGTAAACCATGTGGAGCAATACAGGTTTCGTAGGCTTAGTGGTACAGCGCATGTGTGTTAAGGTACATGGTGTCAGCTAGGTGGAGAAAACAATGGTGTGGGCAAGCTACGTGGTGTAAGCTAGGTGGTGTAATGTATGTGTGGTCTATGTGGTGTAAGCTAGATGGTGCACGCTGTACGCTGTGCGGTGTACGTTTTTCGTGCCAGTTATCTGGTGCAATGTGTGTTTCAACCTTCGTGGTGCAAGCCGAGTGGTGCACCATGTTGCTGAATCCATGTGGTGCAAGCTGTGCGGAAGGCAGCGCGAGGCGCCCGCAAAGGTGCCAACGGGCGGGCACCGGGCGGCGCCGACGAGGCGCCCGTGGGCGGGCATCAGCCAGGCACCGGGCAGAACCCTGTCACACCGACCCAGCGCACAGGGCGCCCACGAGGCGCCCATGGGTGGGCACCAACTGGGCACCCACTGGGCACCAGGCGAAACCTGACCACATCAGTCCAATCTGCTTGGGCAACCCAAGTCAGAATCCCGAAGTGCAAGCACTGTTTAGGGCAAAATATCCAGCTGCCTGCGGCAAGTCCCGCCAGCGTGCCAGTCCAGCTTTCTCGGTGCGGTGGTCTTTGTGCGAGGGAGCACGGAGGTCCTAATGTGCGACATCTTGTATCTCCGGTCCTCGGCGAGGCGCAACACGTGGCGTGTTTTCCGTAGGGCCATTTTCGGGGGCTCTGGGAGCAAGGTGCTTGACGCCGTCAAGTGTGACACCTCGGCTGTCTTAGGGTTTTGGTGAGTGTTCCAAGCCTGCGAGCCCGTCAGGGGCGATGGTTACGATGAATACGATGACAATGATGGTTATGATTAGGATGATGATGATGTTGATGATGATGATGCTGCTGCTGCTGCTGCTGATAATGATGATAATGATGATGATGATGATGATGATGATGGTGATGATGATGATGATGATGATGATGGTGTTGATGACGGTGGTGGTGATTATGAGGATGAGGACGAAGATGAAGGTGAGGACGACGATAATGATAATGATGGTGATGGTGATGGTGACGGTGACGGTGATGGTGATGGTGACAGTGGTGATGATGGTGATAGTGATGGTGATGATGATGACGATGACGATGACGATGATGATGATGATGATGATGATGATGATGATGATGATGATGATGATGATGATGATGATGATGATGATGATGATGATGATGATGATGGTGATGATGATGATGATGATGATGATGATGACGACGATGACGATGATGATGACGATGCTGATGGTGATGATAATGCTGAGGATGGCCATTATGATTATGATGATGATGATGCTGCTGATGATGATGCTGATCATACCATGATCATGATTATCATGATGATCATGACGATGACGAGATGCAGGAGGAGGAGCGAGGAGGAGCGAGGAGAAGGAAGTGGAGGTGGATCACGAGGATGAGCAGGAGCAGGATGAGGAGGAGGAGGATGAGGAGGAGGAGAAGGAGGAAGAGGAGGAGGAGGATGAGGAGGAGGAGGAGGAGGAGGAGGAACGCCGTTACATGTGACGCCTGTCGTCTTCACGTCTTGAGGAGCATGCACCTCAGTTGGGCAGTCTTGGGGCCTCTTTTGGGCCCCTTGGGAGTGTTTTGGGGCCTCTTGAGGGCCTCTTTTGGGTCTCTTGGGGCCTCCTGGGGGCCCTGTTGGGGCGGAAGGCTCGGCTCGTCGGTTCGTTCTCCCCCTCTTGGGCACTTCTTGGACCCGTCTTGGGGCACTCTTGGACCTTCTTCGGCTTCCTTTGGGCTGTCTTGGAGCCCTCTTCGGCCGTCTTGGGGCTCTCTTTGGGGCATCCCGTCTTGGGGCAGTCTTGGGGGCCTCTTGGGCCGTCTTGGAGCGTCGAAAGATAGACCAATCTGAAAAACCAGACGTAGCACCCCGCAGTTGCGGATAAGAGTGAGGGGGCGGCGGGGACGTCGGCAGCCTGCGAGGTTCTGAAGAAACCCGCCGCAGGCGCTTATTTTTTTGTTTTACAAATTATACAACGAGCCCGCCGCAGGCGCCGATTTTTCCATTAATGCTATGTGGGTGGACCGCGGGGTGGGTCGCAGGTGGGTCGCGGGTGGGTCGCGGGCGTGTCGCGGGGTGGATCGCAAGTTGGTCGCGGGTGGGTCGCGGGCCGGGTCGCGGGGGGGACGACGACAACACACATCACACAACACAACAACAACAGCAACAACAGCAACATCTCCACCAGCAACGACAGCAGCAGCAACATCAGCATCAGCAACAACATCAGCAACAACAACAGCAGCAACAACACCACCAGCAACACCAACACCAACGACAACACCACAGCCACCAACAACAACACCAACACTGGCAACAGCACCAACAACAACGACACCAACAACACCACGAGCAACACCAATATCTTCAACATCAGTAACATCTCAACATCAGCAGCAACAGCCAGCAGCAACAGCAACAACAGTCCGCACCGCAAAACCTCACTTCAGCCACGCGCCCAGGGACAATGAATGACCGTTCGGCCCCCTCACTCTGATGAGCATCTATGTTTTTTGCCTCTCCAGGCCCTCTTGGGAAGGCTCTCGGGGCTCTCTGGTGCTGCATCGACGGCCTCTAGGGCCGTGTTGAGGCCACATTGGGCTGTCTAGAAGCCAAAGTGGGCCGTCTGGGCGCCATACTGCGCTGTCCCGGGGGCATATTGGCCTCGGGAGCACGGATTTGTTGTAGTTTGTGGGGGATTGTGGCTTCGGGAGGAGGGGGTGGTGCGCGCAGGCCGGCGTCCCTTAGAATATTACAGCAGCCATACAAGACAGCACTTGGCACTCTACAACGCCCCAGCGTACCAGGGGGCACGATGGCAGATCCAAACCCGTCTCAAAGGGCCCGTGGACTAGTTTTGAGCGGATCAGTGTCTGGGACGTGGCCAGGGGGTGCCTTTCTAAGAGGGCCCCCTGCCTCTTAGAAGCCCACTGCCTCGCCTCCGCTCCGCCAGGGAGCACAGACAACATGCGGAAACGAGATCCATTTCGGGCTACGAGGGGCTATGGCTTCCGGACCGCACCTTAGGTCTAGGTCAGGGAACTTCTTCGTGGCCGAGGTTCGCCGTGGTCAGAAGCTCTTCTACGATTCCTCAGTTGGCGCTCTTTATGGTAGCGCGATTGCTGTAGGAGAAGGCGGAAGAGAACCTCCCCCGAGACTCGATGCTTGTGAACAACGAGCACGACAGTTGTGAGAAGATGATTTGCTGGATCGCAGAGAAAGGCCATCAACAACAATCAAGGAAATCCCCAGGCGTCGCCGTAGCTTCGCGTCGATGTCGGCGCGATACTTTTCCTTCTCCCCCACCCAGCCAGCGGCGCCCCAGGCGTCAATGTCTCGGGCTGGACCATCCAGCACGTCATGTCTCACCACATATACCCCAACTTGGAGGACCCGCCCTTCCCCGTCCACCCTTCCCCTCCTGCACCCCGTTCTCCCCCGCCGCCGGCTCCCTCCTCCTGCCTCCTTTCCGTTTCCTCCCTTCCGTCTTTTGGTTTCTTGCTCGATCTGCCCCACGCTGGAGGACCACGACGTAGATCTGTACCACTTCGACCCCGTTATCGTCTTGAAGAAGGGCGTGGGGACGGTGCACATAGCTCTTCACATGATCAGGGTCATACTGATCATGTCTACGTCGGTGGCGCATTTAGCTTTGGTGGTGCCATACGGGCTGCTCACTGGGCACGTTGATCCAAAGGACGGGCATGCGGTGTACGACCGCGTCAAGAACATCCAGAGCACCCGGGCCGAGCTGAGGCCCCTCTGCCCGCGCCCCCCTGCCACTCCGGCATCGCCCCTGCCGTACAGGGCCGCCAGCATGCAGAAGACGGCGATCCCTCTCGTCGGGCAGGCGCAGGATCCAGGATGAGGACAAGTCGCGCCAGAGCGCTCCCGAACGCTCTCGGAGCATCCCAGAACCCTCGAGAACGGCCGCGGCGCGGGACACATCGCCAAGGCCCCCTGGCTCTCAGAGATTCCCGATCTGTCTTCCTCTGAGTCTGTCCTCTCGTCCTTCTTTCCCCCTGCTCCAGGCTTTCAGAAGACCCCCCCCCAGGGAGCCGTCAGGGCACCGTAGGCGGGGACATGGGTGAAGCAAGAGGTTGGCGCGCCGAGGAAATTGTGGCCGTGGGTCGAGATGTTCTCAATGCTTCATTCTCTCCAGGTTGGGTCTTCGCAGCGTCCAAGACGGCCCGATGGGCTCCCGATATCGTCACAAGACGGCCCCAAAGGCCTCCCAGAGGGTTTGAAGACGGCCCAAAAGGGCCCCAAGACTGCCCCAGAGAGTCCTGAGACTGGCCACAAGAAGCCCAAGATGCCCCCAGAAGGCTCCCAAGATAACCCACGAATGCCATGGGAGACCCCCAAGAAGGCCATTGGAGGCCCCCAAGAGGGCCCTAGCCGCTTGATTATGCTTCTGTCCGCTGTGCCCCCTGGCGCCCCTGTGCCGGCGCTGCTGGGCTAGCTTCGCAGAGGATTTTTTGTTGCCGTGCGCTCGTTGCGCTCACGCCAGCCCGCGTGTCTTTCCCATTGCTCTATCACCCGCTCTTTATCTCTCCCTTCCCCCCTCTGCCTTCTTCGTCGACCTCCGCGTTCGAGGCATCCGCGGTCATCCTCATTCGCCCGCTCCTTCCTGTGGACCTTCTCCCCGTTTCTCCCCCCTCCTCCTCCCCCCGTCCGCCTCTTCAGCCCCCCCCTATCATCCCTGCTCCCTTCCCGTTCCCCGTTCATGGACAAGTGCCATCGCAACGTTTTGATGCTTCGTCGTTTGCCAGCATCTTCGCGCGTGACAGATCATCATCATTTTCCCACTCCTGCGCGCAAGCGTGCAAGCGCATCGGGCGAACGCGGTGTCAATAGGCACCGGGGATATTAGAACAATGAGCCGGTCGCCCGTCCAGGCCTCGAGGTCCCCCCTGGTGAAGCAAGCGATGATTTGTTGTTTTGCCGGAGAAGCGTCCGGAACAAGACGCATGGCGCGAAACGCCAATGCAGTACTGTCGGAGGTGAGGAGGTGAGATCGAAGTGGAACGCAAAGCCTCCCCACCGCGAAATCGATTTCGGTTTCGTGTTCGTGCGTGCCGTGCGCGCGGGCGAAGCGAAGCTCCGTGGGCGTTCGAGAGGAAAGTCTCCTCTGGCTGAGGCGCGGCCGGACCAAATGATCCCCTTCCGGCAACCGGTGGCGCGCGGTGTCCCGCATGCGTGCAGGTGTCCCGCTGTGGCTGAGGCGCTGCCGGACCAAATGATTCCCGTCTGGCGTCCGGTGGCGCTCGGTGTCCCGCCGGTGTCCCGCCGTTGTCCCGTCGGTGTCCCGATGATGACGGTGATGGTGATGACGACGACGATGATGTGGATGTTGATGATGATGGTGATGGTGGTGATGATGATGGTGTCCCAATGATGATGATGATGATGATGATGATGATGATGATGATGATGATGATGATGATGATGATGATGATGATGATGATGATGATGATGATGATGATGACGCAAATGATGATGATGATGATGATGATGATGATGATGATGATGATGATGATGATGAGGTTGACGATGTTGGTGATGTTGATGGTGATGATGATGGCCATGGTGGCGATGATGATTGTGTCCCGATGATGATGATAATTATGATGCTGATGTTGCTAATGATGATGACGACACCCCGATGGTGATGATGATGTTGGTGATCATGATTATTCTGATGTTGTTATGATGATATGATGGTGTTGAGGATGAAGATGCTGATGATGGTGTCTCGATGATGCTGGTGATGATGAGGTTGATGATGAGGCTGTTTATGATGATGGTGATGATGGTGATGGTGGTGTCCCGATGATGATGCTGATGAGGATGGTGTCCCGACGACGATGGTGTCCCGATTATGACGATGATGATGTTGATGAGGATGATGATGATGAGGTGATGATGGTGATTTGCATGATGGTGTCCCGATGGTGATGATGATGATGATGATGATGATGATGATGACGATGTTGTTGATGATGATGGTGCCCCGTTGATGATGATGATGGTGATGGTGATGGTGACGATGATTATGGTGTCCCGAGGATGATGGTGGTGATGATGATGATGTTGCTGATGGTGATGATCGTGTTCCGATGATAATGATGTTGATGATGCTATTCATGATGATGATGAGATGGTGATTGTGATGATGATGATGGTGGTGTTCCGATGCTGATGATGATGGTGTCCCGATGATGATGATGTTGTTGATGATGATGGTGACGATGATGGTGTCCCGATGCTGATGATGGTGATGATGACGCTGTTGATGATGATGGTGATGAGGTGATGATGATGGTGGTGTCCCGATGGTGATCATGATGTCGATGACGTTGATGACGATGATGTTGATGACGATGATGACGTTGATTGTGAGATCGGTTGTGATACCCGGTTGTGCGATCCATAGTGGGATCGATAGTGAGACCGGGTGTGCGATCGATTGTGAGATCGATAGTGAGATTGATTGTCATATCGATTGTGGGATCTACCGTCAGATCGATAATGAGATCGATCGAATGAAATAAATCGAATGATATCGATTGTGAGATCGATCGGGTGAGATCGAACGAGCGAGACCGATAGTGAGACCGATTGTGAGATCGATCGTGATATCGATCGAGTGAGACAGTGGTTGTTCCCCTCCGAACCTCCTTATCACCCGAAGGGTGGTCGTATAGGTATGTATGTATATATCAGAAGTTGTGGGGTGAGTCCGACGTGAAACGGAGACTGGCGGCCAGTACCGCGCGATGTTTCGCCGGTGTCCCGATGGTGCCCCGAGATCCTCCTGTGGCTGGGCCGCGGCCGGACCAAATGTTTCTCCTCTGGCGGCTGGTGCCGCGCGGTGTCCCGCCGGTGTCCCGTGGTGTCCCGTGGTGTCCCGTTGAGTGATATCGATCGTGAGATTGGTAGTGAGATCGATAGTGATATCGATAGTGAGATCGATGTGGTGCCCCGAGGTGTCCCGTGGTGTCCCGTTGAGTGAGATCGATAATGAGATCGATCGTGAGATCGACAGGGGTCCCGTGGTGTCCCGTGGTGTCCCGTTGAGTGAGATCGATCGTGAGATCGATAGTGAGATCGATGTGGTGCCCCGAGGTGTCCCGTGATTTCCCGTGGTGTCACGCTGAGTGATGTGGATAGTGATATCGGTAGTGAGATCGACAGGTGTCCCCTGGTGTCCCGTGGTGTCCCGTTGAGTGAGATCCATAGTGTCCCGTTGAGTGAGTTCGATCGTGACTTCGATACTGATATCGATCGTGGGAGCGATGTGGTGTCCCGTGGTGTCCCGTGGTGTCCCGTGGTGTCCCGCTGAGTGAGGTCGATAGTGAGATCGACAGTGAGACCGATAGTGAGATCGAGAGGTGCCCCGCGGTGTCCCGTGGTGTCCCGTGGTGGCCCGTGGTGTCCCGTGGTGTCCCAGTGAGTGAGCTCGATAGTGAGATCGATAGTGAGATCGACGTGTGTCCCGTGGTGTCCCGTGGTGTCCTTCCCGTCGTGTCCCGTGGTGTCCCGTTGAGTTATATCGATCGTGGGATCGACAGTGAGATCGATGGTGAGATCGATGTGGCGTCCCGAAGTGCCCCGTGGTGTCGTATGGTGTCCCGCTGAGCGAGGTCGATAGTTATATCGATAGTGAGAGCGATAGTGAGATCGAGAGGTGTCCCGCTGTGTCCCGTGGTGCCCCGTGGTGGCCCGTGGTGTCCCATGGTGTCCCGTTGGGTGAGATCGATGGTGAGATCGATCGTGGAATTTTCAAGTGTCCCGTGGTGTTCCGTGGCGTCCCGTGGTGTCCCGTTGAGTGAGATCGATAGTGATTGCGATTGAATCAAATGTCGGTTCCCCCCCTTTCCCCCCAACAACCTCCTTATCACCCCGGGGTGGTCGTATGGGTGTATATATATGTATCTATACGACCACGCTTCAGGTGATAAGGAGGTTTGGGGGGAGGAACCAACGTCTCACTCGATCGGTCGGACTATCGGTCTCATTATCGAACTCACTATCGGTCTCGCTCGATCGATCTCACTCGATCGATATCACTCGATCGATCTCACAACCGATCTCATTCGATCTACTTCATTCGATCGATCTCACAATCGATCCGACAGCCGATCTCACAATCGATCTCACTATCGAACCAACTATCGATCTCACAGTCGATCTCACATTCGGTCCCACTATCGATTTCACTATCGATTTCACAATCGATATCACAATCAACGCCATCATCATCATCAATCTCATCGTCGTCAACGTCATCATCATCATCGGACACCATCATCAGCATCATTCCCCCACCACCACCATCAACATCATCATCACCATCACCATCATCATCGGGACACCATCATCGTCACCATCTTTATCATCATCATCATCATCATCATCATCTTAGGGACACCATCATCAGCATCATCGGAACACCATCATCATCATTTTATCGTCACCATCATGAACAACATCCTCATCATTGGGACACCATCCTCATCAACAACATCACCATCATCATCAACATCATCATCATCATCGGGATACCATCACGATCGTCACCATCATCATCACCATCATCATCACCATCGGGACACCATCATCAATATTGTCAACATCCACATCATCATCATCCTCACCATCACCGGGCCGCCATCATCAAAATAATCATCATCACCTCATCATCATCATCCCCATCATCAACATCATCATCATCATCGGGACACCTCCATCGT